GGGCGACAGCGGGGACACGAAGGGAATGCGTATGGGGCCACGGAGAGCGCGAACGAGCGTGGGCCACGAAGGGCAGATAACGCGGGGCCACAGAAGGCAACGATGAGGCCACTGAGGGTAGCACCTGGGCCACGTAGGACAATGAGGGGGCCACAAACGGCGACAGCGGGGCCACGAAGGGCATGCACATGGGGCCACAACGGGCGCGAACGAGCGGGGGCCACGAAGGGCATACGTATGTTGGGCCGCGGAGGGTACGGACGGGGCCACTGAGGGCAGCTACGGGGACACGAAGGGCAGCGAGGGGGCCACGAAGGGCGACAGCGGGGCCACGAAGGGCATGCATATGGGGCCACCACGGTCGCGAACGAGCGGGGGCCACGAAGGGCATACATATATGGGGCCACGAAACAAAGCGAGGGGGCCACGAAGGGCTGCAACGGGGCCACGAAACAAAGGCGAGGGGGCCACGAAGGGCCCTGCACGGCTAGGGAGTAGGCCTGCAACGGGCCACGAATGGCAGAGCACCGGGGCCACGAATGGCTGCAACGGGGCCACGAAACAGAGCGAGGGGGCCACGAAGGGCTGCAACGGGGCCACGAAGGACAACGAGGAGGCCACGAAGGGCTGCAACGGGGCCACGAAACAAATCGAGGGGGCCACGAAGGGCTGCAACGGGGCCACGAAACAAAGCGAGGGGGCCACGAAGGGCTGCAACGGGGCCACGAAGGGCAGCGAGATCCCGATTCCCAGGTAATCTGTGAAGGAGTCCTAAGCGTGAGCGCGACTCCTGGGTGCCTGGGTGTCGGGAGCGCGGCGCTGGAGTAATTGCAAGAAATTCCAACGCAAGGGCGCTATATTTTAGTAAATTGCAAGCAAGTCTCCAGCGAGAGCGCGACTCCAGAGGAGCGATTCCTGAATAAATCGTAAGGACGTCCCAAGCGAGAGCGCGATTCTTGAATAAAATGCGAGGAAATCTCGGGCGGGAGCGGGGGTCCTGGCTAAATTGTGAGGAAGTCTCAGGCGGGAGCCGTTGTTGTTGTAACCCGGGGGCCAGGGGCCCAGTTTGAGCATGAAGACATCCCCTGTCAAAAAACAGCGTGCGAGCCCCGGCGGGGGCATTTCAATTGAAAAAATCAATGCGCACCGGTGGGGGCGGATCAACAATACTTATTCTTCAAGAATGAGAGTTCAACAACAACAATAATAACAAAAAACAATAGCAACAACAACAACAACAACAACAACAACAACAACAACAATCACTTTACCCGAACGCTCATTGTTCTCACCAGTGCCAGGGTTTTCATACGACGCCCGCCAATACCCCCACTTTGTGGGGGGGCCGGTTCAAGCTCTACCACATTTCCAAACGACTCTTCGCCACCACCCACACCCAGCTTCCCGCCCTATGACGTTCGGACACTTCAGTTCGTGGCCTGCGGACGACCGTGGCTACTACACTGGCGCATGGGTACAGTGACTTGTTGTGGTAACATTTTCTGGACGCTAGCTTAGTATACGACTTTTCCCCCTGTTCCAACACTGGACACCTATACTGGTTTTTGGAAAAACCATTGTTTTTTTTTAGGATTCGGACAGCGCGCGCGGGTAGAAATTTTGAAAAGTCGTGCAGGTGTTTTTCGAGGACCTACGGTGCGATTCGTGTGATTTAATGATGCGCGGTGCTAAAATTCTTAAGAACCCAATGGTTTTTGGAGATTTCGGCGTGCGCGCGCGAAGAAAAAACGAATGTGTCCCGCATGGTATTATTTGACAGGGATGATGGCCCTGGCAGGTGCGCAACCGTTGTTGCAGAAGTTCGAAAAAGTTGCTCGCAAAGCCCGTTTGACAGAAATGTTTAAAAAGTGTTGGGTTTCCTACGAATCCGCAAGAGCGCGCGGGATGAAATTTTGACATTTTTTGTTTGAAAAACCATTGGTTGTTTGATGTTTTTATGTTAAAATCGCTACGAAAACTAAGGTTTTGGAAGGATTTCGTCTTGCGCGCGCGAATGTCCACTTTACCTTATTTTTTGCAAGGGATTCTTGAAGTTTGGATATGTTAGAACAAGAAATTTCATTTTATAGTGTTTTTTTTGCAAGGGAAAGCGAGGGACAACAAAACAACCGGATCTTGGTTACAATCGTATTCTGGGGGGGAGGGGGGGGGGGGGGGGGGGGGGGGGGGGGGGGGGGGGGGGGGGGAGGGGGGGGGGGGGGGGGGGGGGGGGGGGGGAGGGGGGGGGGGGAGGCTTCCTCACGAAAATGATGAAAATGTAGCTGCGGCCTAGGCGGCGCAGGGGGGGCGCGCACCAGGGGGCCCAACAATAATTATTCTTTAGAATTAATAATGTTCAACAACAACAACATCATCAGCATCATCCTCCAGTCCGTGGCCCCCTCCTCCCTCCCTCTTCCCTCAGGCGCCGGTCACTCAAGGAGCACAAGAGTACGTGGATGATTTCAAGCCTGGTATATTTCGGGGGCGGGTGGCTGCGCGGTGAAAGAGGAGAGAGGGAGAGAGGGAGAGAGGGAGAGAGAGAGAGAAGCAATGTAATTAGCCTGGCGAAGGACCCAACCATTAGCAATTGTGCGTAACGCGTTGTGGGTCCCGCTTTCGGTGGGGCTCCCTATGGGGCCACGAAGCGCTGCCTTGGATGGGGGAACCGCATGCGGACTGCGCCACCGGGGCGGGCCTTCGGTGGAGCTCCCTATGGGGCTACGAAACGCTGCCCTGGGTGGGGGAAACGCATGCGAACTGCGCCACTGGGGCCTTCGGTGGAGCTCCCTATGGTGCCACGAAACGCTGCCCTGGGTGGGGGAAGCGCATGCGAACTGCGCCACGGGGGCTTTCGGTGGAGCTCCCCATGGGGCCACGAATCGCTGCCCTGGGTGGGGGAACCGCATGCGAGAGCAGCCACTGGGGCCTCCGGTGGAGCTCCCTATGGGGCCACGAAACGCTGCCCTGGGTGGGGGAACCGCATGCGAGAGCAGCCACTGGGGCCTTCGGTGGAGCTCCCTATGGGGCCACGAAGCGCTGCCCTGGGCGGGGGAACCGCATGCGAACACCACCACTGGGGCCTTCGGTGGAGCTCCCTATGGGGCCACGAAACGCTGCCCTGGGTGGGGGAACCGCATGCGAACACCCCCACTGGGCCTTCGGTGGAGCTCCCTATGGGGCTACGAAACGCTGCCCTGGGTGGGGGAACCGCATGCGAACACCCCCACTGGGGCCTTCGGTGGAGCTCCCTATGGGGCTACGAAACGCTGCCCTGGGTGGGGGACCCGCATGCGAACACCCCCACTGGGGCCTTCGGTGGAGCTCCCTATGGGGCCACGAAACGCTGCCCTGGGTGGGGGAACCGCATGCGAACACCCCCCCTGGGGCCTTCGGTGGAGCTCCCTATGGGGCCACGAAACGCTGCCCTGGGTGGGGGAACCGCATGCGAACACCCCCACTGGGGCCTTCGGTGGAGCTCCCTATGGGGCCACGAAGCGCTGCCCTGGGTGGGGAACCGCATGCGAAAACCCCCACTGGGGCCTTCGGTGGAGCTCCCTATGGGGCTACGAAACGCTGCCCTGGGTGGGGGAACCGCATGCGAACACCCCCACTGGGGCCTTCGGTGGAGCTCCCTATGGGGCCACGAAACGCTGCCCTGGGTGGGGGAACCGCATGAGAACACCCCCACTGGGGCCTTCGGTGGAGCTCCCTATGGGGCTACGAAACGCTGCCCTGGGTGGGGGAACCGCATGCGAACACCCCCACTGGGGCCTTCGGTGGAGCTCCCTATGGGGCCACGAAACGCTGCCCTGGGTGGGGGGACCGCATGCGAACACCCCCACTGGGGCCTTCGGTGGAGCTCCCTATGGGGCTACGAAACGCTGCCCTGTGCGGGGGAACCGCGTGCGAACACCCCCACTGGGGCCTTCGGTGGAGCTCCCTATGGGGCCACGAAACGCTGCCCTGGGTGGGGGAACCGCATGCGAACACCCCCACTGGGGCCTTCGGTGAGCTCCCTATGGGGCTACGAAACGCTGCCCTGGGTGGGGGAACCGCATGCGAACACCCCCACTGGGGCCTTCGGTGGAGCTCCCTATGGGGCCACGAAACGCTGCCCTGGGTGGGAACCGCATGCGAACACCCCCACTGGGGCCTTCGGTGGAGCTCCCTATGGGGCTACGAAACGCTGCCCTGGGTGGGGGAACCGCATGCGAACACCCCCACTGGGGCCTTCGGTGGAGCTCCCTATGGGGCCACGAAACGCTGCCCTGGGGGGGGGAACCGCATGCGAACACCCCCACTGGGGCCTTCGGTGGAGCTCCCTATGGGGCCACGAAGCGCTGCCCTGGGTGGGGGAACCGCATGCGAACACCCCCACGGGGGCCTTCGGTGGAGCTCCCTATGGGGCTACGAAACGCTGCCCTGGGTGGGGGAACCGCATGCGCACACCCCCACTGGGGCCTTCGGTGGAGCTCCCTATGGGGCCACGAAGCGCTGCCCTGGGTGGGGGAACCGCATGCGAACACCCCCACTGGGGCCTTCGGTGGAGCTCCCTATGGGGCTACGAAACGCTGCCCTGGGTGGTGGAACCGCATGCGAACACCCCCACTGGGGCCTTCGGTGGAGCTCCCTATGGGGCCACGAAACGCTGCCCTGGGTGGGGGAACCGCATGCGAACACCCCCACTGGGGCCTTCGGTGGAGCTCCCTATGGAGCCACGAAGCGCTGTAATGGGTGGGTGAAACGCATAGAGGAGGGAGGAGAGGGAGGAGGAGGGAGGAGGAGGGGGAGGAGGAGGAGAGGAGGAGAGGAGGAGAGGAGAGGACGCGGGCACCGTCTCTTCAAAACGAGGACCCAACACCACAGGATGGTTGGGAAAAAAACGATAGATAGAGAGAGAGAGAGAACCAAAAGAGAGAGAGAGAGAGAGAGAGAGAGAGAGCGCGGGGGGGGAACAACAACGCCTCCCTCCTCAACCCCACCCCGCCGCCGAAAGCCTCGTGCCACTCGCGCCAGCAGCCGCCCACGCGGATGCCGCACTGCGGGGTGCTATCGCCTGTCCCCAGGCTCCACCCCCCTGCCTGCCCGAGGTCGTCCTCCTCCTCCTCCTCCTCCTCCTCCTCCTCCTCCTGCTTATCCTCCTCTTCCTCCTCCTCCTCCTCCTCCTCCTCCAACTCCTCCTCCTCATGCTCTTTCTCATCCTCCTCCTCCTCCTTCTCCTCCTCCTCTTGTTCCTCCTCTTCCTGCTCCTCCTCATCATCCTCTTCTGTCTCCTCCTCCTCTTACTCCTCCTCCTTCTCCTCTGTCTCCTCCTCCTCCTGTTCCTCCTCCTCCTCCTCACCCTCCTCCTGCTCCTCCTGATCCTCCTCATCCTCCTCCTCTTCCTCCATCTCCGCCTCCACATCCGCCTACTCCTTCTCCTGTTCCTCCTCCGTTTGCTCCTCCTCCTCCTCCATCCTACCTTCTCTCCGTCTCGGGGACTCCGTGTTCTCCCTTCTCCTCCTCCTTCTCCTCCGCCTCCTCCTCTCCTCCTCCTCCTCCTCCTCCGTGTTCTCCTCCCCCTCCCCTCCTCCCTCCTCCCCGTCCCTCCTCCTCCTCCTCCTCCTCCTCCTCCTCCTCCTCTCCTCCTCCTCCTCCTCCTCCTCCTCCTCCTCCTCCTCCTCCTCCTCACTCCTCCCCCCCCCCGTCTACTTCCTACCTCCTACCTCTTACCTCCTACATGCTCCCCCTTCTCCTCCTCATCCTCATCCTCCTCTTCCTCCTCCGCCTCCGTCTCCGCCTCCTCCTCCTCCTCCTCCTCGTCCTCCTCCTCCTCAGCATCAGCAGTACCCGCATCAGCATCAGCAGCATCATCATCAGCATCAGCATCAGCATCAGCATCAGCATCATCATCATCATCATCATCAGCATCATCATCATAATCATCATCATCATCATCATGATCATCATCATCATCATCATCATCATCATCATCATCATCATCATCATCATCATCGTCATCGTCATCATCAGCAGCAGCATCATCATCACCATCATCATCATCATCATCATCATCATCATCATCAGCATCAGCATCATCAGCAGCATCATCATCAGCAGCAGCAACATCATCATCATCATCATCACCATCAGCATCATCATCAGCATCATCATCAGCAGCAGCATCATCAGCATCATCATCAGCATCATCATCAGCATCATCAGCAATCATCATCATCAGCATCATCATCATCAACATCAGCATCATCATCACCATCATCATCATCATCAGCGTCGCCATCATCAACAGCAGCAGTATCACCATCAGCATCATCAGCAACATCATCATCATCAGCAACAACATCATCAACATCAACATCAGTAGCAGCACCATCAGTATCATCGACATCATCATCAGCAGCAACAGCATCATCCTCAACATCAGCATCATCATCAGCATCAGCATCAGCGTCAGCAGCCAGCAGCATCATCATCAGCAACATCATCACCATCAGCATCAGCATCATCATCAGCAGCGACATCATCATCACCGTCATCATCAGCTAGTCATCAGCATCATCGTGGCCATCAGCAGCAGCAGCGTCAGTCCCATCAGCATCAGCATCACCAGCATCATCAGCATCAACAGCATCGTCGGCATCAGCATCATCATCATCATCGTCGTCATCATCATCATCAGCATCGTCATCACCATCAGCAGCAGCAGCATCATCATTATCATCAGCAGGGGCAGCAGCAGCAGCACAGTCATCATAATCAGCAACATGAGCATCGCCATCGTCATCATTGACAGCAGCCGCAAAGATCCTCATCAGCATCATCATCATCATCATAATCAGTAGCAAGAGCTGCAACCTCATCAGCATCAGCATCGTCAGCCTCGTCAGCATCAGCACCTCCATCATCATCATCATCATCATCATCAGCAGCAGCAGCAGCAGCAGCAGCATCATCAGCATCGCCATCATAGTCATCATCCTAAGCATACTCATTACAATCATCAGCATCATCAACATCATCATCGTCGTCGTCATCAACATAATTAACATGAGCATCACCAACACCACCATCATTAGTACAATCAGCATGGCCATAATCATCAACATCATCAGCATAGTCAGAATCATCATCATCATCATCATCAACGTCGTCACCATCATCATCAACATAAGCAGCATCAGTATCGCCATCGTCATCATCGTCAGCAGCATCATCCTCACCATCATCATCAGCAGCATCAGCATCGTCATCGTCCGCATCATCAAGTCCGTATCCATCGTCATACGCATCGTCGTCAGTTTGAGCATCAGCATCATGATCATCAGCATCTTCAGCATCATCATCAGCAGCAACATCACCTGTACCATCATCATCACCATGCAGCAGCATCATCATCGTCAACAATACCAGTAACATCACCATGAGCACCACACTGGCATCATCATCATCACCAGCGTCCTCAGCATCATCAGCAGCATCAGCAACATCACTATCATCATGAGCATCGCCACCATCATCCGTCGTCAGCAACGTCATCATCATCATCATCATCAGCAGCTGCAACACCATCATCATCGGCATCATAAGCATCGCAATCATCAGAATCATCAGCATCCTCATCACCACCACCACCACCACCATCGCCATCATCATCCGCATCATCAGTATCATAAGTATCATCATCTGCATCGTCATCGTCATCAACATCATCATTATTACCATCATAATAATCCGCATCATCAGCACCATCACCCGCATCATCAGCATCAACAGCATCATCCTCAGAATATGTATCACAATCATCACCATCACCATCACCATCACCATCACCATCACCATCAGCATCAGCATCAGCATCAGCATCAGCATCAGCATCATCAGCAGCATCATCGTGACCGTAGTTATCATCATCAGCAGCATCATCATCATCATGAACAGCATCGTCATCACCATCATCATCGTCGTGGTCGTTGTCGTCAACATCAACGTAGTCAGCATCAGCAGCAGCATCATCATGATCGTCCTCCGCCTCCTCATCCTCATCGTCACCATCACCATCATAATCAGCATCATCCTCAGCAGCAGCATTATCATCAGCCTCGGCATCATGACGCCCAGCCGACGCTGCTGCTGCTGCTGCTGCTGGTCCTCCTCCGGCGGTGCATTCTCCTCCTCCTCCTCCTCCGCCGCCTCCTCCTTCTTGTTCCTCCTCGTCCTCCCTCCTCCTCCTCCTCCTCCTCCTCCTCCTCCTCCTCCCATCTCCTTCCTCACAGGGGGTCCGCTGGACTGTTGCGGGCAGGGCCCCGCGCGGGCGCCTGCGGCACGCCCCAGGCTGGCCTTTCCAGGCGGCTGGCCCTGGGCCAAAGGAGGTCCCGCACGGGGGCCCTGCCGCGAGAGGTCCCCGCAAGGGCATCCCCTCGTGGTTGAGCGGGCTCTGTCTGGGGAGAAAGGGGGGAGGGAGGAGGGAGCAGGGAGGGAGGAGGGAGGAGGGAGCAGGGAGGAAGGAGAGGGGAGGGAGGGAGGGAGATGGGGAGGGAGGAGGGAGGGAGGAGGGAGGGAGGGAGGGAGGAGGGAGCAGGGGAGGGAGGAGGGAGCAGGGGAGGGAGGAGGGAGCAGGGAGGAAGGAGAGAGGAGGGAGGGAGAGAGGGAGGGAGGGAATTGTCCCGAAGCGTTGGGCGGCTTGCGCGCGCTCCCCAAACGGTGCTTGCACGCAGGAGGCCTTGCTTGGTTTGCAGGGAACTGGCTTGCGGAGTCGCAGTCGAAGGTTCCTGCTCGGTGCCGTGCAGATGGTGCCATATGCGCTGGTGCCTCAAGGTTAGCACTCGGTGCAACAGTCGGCTGTCCCGGGTCGGTGCCCTATGACTGATGCCCCCTATGGTTGGCCCGCGGTGTTGCAATCGACCGTGCCCCGTCGTGCCACATGTTGGGTGCCCTGCGCGCTCATGCCCAACGGTTGAACCTTTGCATCGCAGTCGGCCATCCTGCCTGCGCCACTGCGTTACGCTGCGTTTATGTGTGTGGCGCGTTGCTTTGCCTTGCACTGGCTTGCATTGATGTGCTTTGCATTGCACCACATTGTATGCACATCGGCAGTGCTAGAACCAACTGCTTGGAGTCCAAGCGCTGGCATCGTTGTCCTGTGCCTCAGTGAGTTCCTTTGGGGTCCATAAACGTCGGTGGGGCTCCTTGATGGCGGAGGAGGGGGGAAGGAGTCGAAGGAGGAGCAGGGAAGAGCGAGGAGGGAGACGAAGAGCAGTGAGGAAGGAGAAACTAGGAGCAAGGAGTTCCGAGGAGACGTGACAAGAAGCTTAGAGCTAAGACGCAGGGAGAGAGGAGGGAGGGACGGAGGTAGGAACGAGCAGGGCGGAGGAGTGCGGAGCAAAAAGGAACAAGGAGAAGCGAGGTGGAGCGGAGAAGAGAGAGAGAGAGAGGAGCAGGGAGGAGCGGGGAAGGAAGAGGGAGGAGCGAGGTAGGAACGACGAGCAAGGAGGGGCGAGAGGGGTTTTGCATACATATATATATATACATATACACACATGTGTGTATATCGAAAGAAGAAAAAGAGGGAAAGAGAGAAAGAGAGAGAGAGAGACAGAGAACGTGTACGTACACAGATATACATATATAAAGGGGAATAACCGGAGGAGCGGTCTGCAGGAAGGGAAACATGGAAGTGAACGAGGAGCGAGGAGAGAGGAGAGAGAGAGAGAGAGAGAGAGAAGAAGCACCAGCACTAGGAGGAGGAGAAGACAAAGGTGGATGAATACAACGACGACAACGACAACGACGGCGAGAGGAGGAGACGACGACAACGACGCCAACAACGGCGACAGGACGAGACGACGACAACGACGACGACGACAACGACGACGACGACGACAATGACGGCGAGAGGAAAGGAAGGACGACAGCGACAACGACGAAGACGACGAGGATGACGAAAAGCAACCCTCCCAACGAAAGTGCCTCGTTCAGCGGGAGCCGGCACGAAGATACCCAGGTGCGCCGTGAGCCTTGCTGGAGAGATGAGAGCGGCAGCGGAAGCGCAGCCACCTCTTCCTCAAACAACTCCCTCCTCCTCGCCATCCTCCCTCCATCCGCCATCGTTCTCCTCCTCATCGCCATCCTCGTCCTCCTCCTCCTCCTCGTCATCATCATCATCCTGCTGCTCATCATCCTCCTCCTCCTCCTCCTCCTCCTCCTCCTCCTCCTCCTCCTCCTCATCATCATCATCATCATCATCACCCTCCTCCTCCTCCTCCTTCTCCTCCTCCTCCTCCTCCTCCTGCTCCTCCTCCTCCTCCTTCCTCCTCCTCCTGCTCCTCCTGCTCCCTCCCCCTCCTCCTCCCTCTCCTCCTCCTCTCTCCTCCCTCCTCCTCCTGCTGTCCTCCTCCGCTCCTCCTGCATTTTCCTTCACCTTGTCTTCCCTCCTTTCGCCTATCGTCATATCTCCCCATCCTCCTCCTCCTCCTCCTCCTCCTCCTCCTCTTCTTCTTCGTCTTTTTATTATTATTATTATTAGTATTATTATGATTATTATTATTATAATCATTATAGTATATTAAATAGTATTATCATTGTTATTATTATTATGATTATTACTAATAATATTATCATTATTATTATTCTCATTATTATTATTAGTATTATTATTACTATTATTATTACTATTATTAGTACTATTATTATTATTATATTATTATTTTTAGTTCTATGATTATTATTGGTATTATCATTATTATTAGTATTATTACTATGATTACTATTATTATTACTATTAGTATTAGTATGATTATTATTATCATTAGTATTATTATTATCATTATTAGTATTATTAGTAGCATTATTATTATTATTGTTATTATTATTAATATTATTATATTATCATTATTATTATTAATATTGTTACTAGTATTATTAGTATTATTATTATCGTTATTATTATTAGTATTATTATTAGTATTATTATTATCATCATTATTATTGTTGTTATTATTATTATTATTGTTCTCATTCCTCCACCTCCTCCTCCTCCTCCTCCTCCTCCTCCTCCTCCTCCTCCTCCTCCTCCTCCTCCTCCTCCCCCTCCTCCTCCCCTCCTCCTCCTCTCCTCTCCCTCTCCTCCTCCTCCTCCTCTATCCTCCTCCTCCTCCCCCTCCCCCTCCCCCCTCCCCTCCCTCCTCCTCCTCCTCCTCCTCCTCCTCCTACTCCTCCTCCTCCTCCTCCTCCTCCTCCTCCTCCTCCCCCTCCTCCTCCTGATGAAGACGATGATGATGATAATGATGGTGATGGTGATGGTAATGGTGGTGATGATGATGGTAATTATGGTGATGATGATAGTGATGGTGATGGTGATGGTGATGATGAAGATGAAGATGAAGATGAAGATGAATGATGAATGATGAAGATGAAGATGAAGATGATGATGATGATGATGATGATGATGATGATGATGATGATGATGATGATGATGATGATGATGATGATGATGATGGTGGTGGTGGTGGTGGTGGTGATGGTGATGATGATGATGGTGATGGTGATGGTGGTGATGATAGTAATGATGATGATGGCGATGATGATACGTAATGGTCGCGACACTATTGTGCGAGGAGGAAGACGCTGGCCACGTGCATCTTTAAAAGCTACGATGTCATCAACATCGCCATCTCTTGAATCCGTTCCAAGTGCTGCTCCAACTCGAATTGAACCGATCCACTGACGAATTAGTTTAGACTAGGTCCTGATCTAGTCGGAACCAAATCGTGAGTCAATCTAAATGTGTTACCTCGAACGGACTCGATCACGATCTAGACTGAAACAAGTTGGAAACGATATTGTTATGATCAGTCATCATCTTCCTCCTCAGCATCCTCAACCTCTTCCTCCTCCTCCTCCCACTCTCCTCCGTCCCCCCCGGTGACGACGCAGACGACGACGCAGACGACGCAGACGCTGACGACGCCGACGCCGATGACCAACGCCGACGCCGATCAACAACCACATCGACGACGACCGCCGATTAACGACCACGACGACGACGATGACGACGACGACGACGACGACCAACTAGCACCCATGACGTTCGACGGCGGACGACGGACGACGCTGCTAACGCCGGCGCCGACGACGACGACGCCGCCCATGAGAGCCTGTGGTTGGCGCGCGCGCAGTGCGCCGCTACCCGCGTGCCTGGCCGCAGCGCGCTGAGCACAACCTCGCCCGCGCCCGCCTCGGCCATGCGCACGGCCTCGGGCAGGACTGACGCCACGATCCTCGTCAGGGGGGGAGCAACACCCCCAGGCACGACGGCGGCCACGACGAAGACGACGACGACGACGACAGCGACGACGGCGGCGACCGACGACGGCGGGAACGGCGGCTAAACGCTGCTGACGCCAGCGTCGGCGACGACGGCGGCGACGTGTCTCCTGATACTTTTCGTCCTCCTCCTGCTCCTCATACTCCTCATCTCATCCTCATCCTCCTCTTCCTCCTCATCCTCGTCATCCTCCTCATCCTCCTCCTCAACATCATCAACCTGAGCACCAACAACAACAATATCATGATCATTATCAGCACCATCAGCATCGTCATCGTCATCATCATCCTCAGCAGCAGCACTGTCATCATCATCATCATCATCATCATCATCATCATCATCATCATCATCCTCATCCTCCTCCTCCTCATCAGCATCAGCATCATCAGCAGCAGCACCACCATCATCATCATAAGCATCATCATCAGCATCAACATCATCATCAATCATCGTCATCAGCAGCAGCACTAACCCCATGCTCACGATACTAAACATTAGGGGATGATAAAGTTCGGGGTTCAGGGGGAGATAATCAAAGTAGCCCACCAGACCTCAGCATAATCTCGAAGTAAGAGATGATCAAGAGGAGACCAAACCGAGCACGTTTTGAGACATCCTTGGCGTTTAGTCTTCATTAAAATATCCTCAACAATGGCTTATCTCGCTGGAAACATCCTCGACAAATCCCTTGTTTCGCTTGAGACATCCACAAACTATTGCTTATTTCGCTTGAGACACCGTCAAACTATTGCTTATTTCGCTTGAGACATCCTCGAATTAATTGTGTTTTTCGCTTGAAACATCATCAAACTATTGCTGATTTCGCCTGAACATCCTGAAACTATTGCGTATTTCGCTTGAGACATCCTGAAACTATTGCTTATTTCGCTTGAGACACCGTCGAACTATTGCTTATTTCGCTTGAGACATCCTCGAAATACTTGTGTTTTTCGCTTGAAACATCTTCAAACTATTGCTGCTCTCGCCTGAAACATCCTGAAACTATTGCGTATTTCGCTTGAGACATCCTGGAACTATTGCTTATTTTGCTTGAGACATCCTCAAACTATTGCTGAGACATCTTCAAACTATTAAGTATTTTGAAATAGAGAGAGAGAGAGAGAGGGGTGAGACTCTCTCTCTCTCTCTCTCTCCCGCCGTGCGCTCCTCTGAGGTTTATCGTCGGCAGTTTTTTATCATCGGCTGAGGTTTATTATCGTCGGCAGTTTTTTGTCATCGGCAGTGGTCGGTCGCAACTCCTGAGCTCTCCCGGAAGACGGCGGCACGCAAATGATACGCATTTTTTGGAGAACTTCATTTTGAACCAAAAAACAACTTTTTCTAATTGCGAATTCCATTGTAAGCCTTTCAAAATTGCGAAATCGAGCCGCCAGGCGCTTGAATGCCACATTGCGTTCGAGATTTAAGCACGCGACGCATTTATGAGAAATTTGCGTCGCACGCGCTTTTGCCCGAATATCGAACGCAGTGTGGCATTCAGGCGCGTGCGGGCTCGAATTCGCAATTTCGAAAGGATTTCAATGGAATTCGCAACCAAATGTAATAGTTTTTGTTAAAATAAGGTTTTTCAACAACAACAACAACAAAAATGCGTGTCATGAAAAAAATGCGTTGCACACGCTTTCGCCTAAATCTCGAACGCAGTGCGGCATTCAAGCGCCTGACGGCTCGATTTCGCAAATTCGAAAAGATTTCAATGGAATTCGCAATTAAATAAAAAATTGTTTTTTTTCAAAATGAAGTTTTTCAAAAACATGCGTATCATTTGCGCGCCGCCGTGTTCCCGGAGAGCTCAGGAGTTGCTATCGACCACTGCCGATGATAAAAAAACTGCCGACGATAAGAAACCTCAAGAGGTTGTGCTGAGGGGTTGTGCTGCAGGGTTGTGCTGGAGGGTTGTGCTGGAGGGTTGTGCTGGAGGGTTGTGCTGGAGGGTTGTGCTGGAGGGTTGTGCTGGAGGGTTGTGCTGGAGGGTTGTGCTGGGGGGGCTGTGCTGAGAGAGAGAAGGAAAAAACAAATAAGATATATATGTATATATATATATATATTAAAAGTATATATATACATATATATATATATAACACATTTCGCGAAAAAAATAAAGAGAAAGAAAGACAGATAGAGGAGGAGGAGGAAAAGCAAAAAAATCAAGTTTCAAATCCATCAGATTTTATTTAGAAGCGCTTTATGAAAATTGAGAAAGAGAGAGAGAGAGAGAAGAGGAGATACTGAAAAGCAAGAGACGAAGGAGAGGAGGAGAGGAAAGGAGAAGACAGGAGAGGAGCAAGAGGAGAGAGAGATAGAGAAACAGAGAGAGAAAAAAGACAGAGAGGAAACAAACATATTATTTTTTAACACAAAAAAAACTATCAGACTTTCCATGGATAATCAACCCCAGGGATAAACAAGTTCAGGGGGGCATGGGGGGGAGAGAGACAGAGAGATAGAAAGAGAGAGAGAGAAGAAAGAATGAAAATGAAGAGGAGAAGAAAAATTCAAGAGGAGAAGTAAAAGAGGAGAGGAAGAGGAAAAGCAAAAATTTCAAGTTCCAAATCTATTATAGTTTATGCACAAACGCTCTATGTTTTTTAAAGTGCTCGTGTAGGAGCTCATGTGCCTCACTTTCCGTGGATAATCAACCCCAGGGATAAACAAGTTCAGGGGCGCATGGGGAGAGAGAAAGATATAAAGAGAGAGATAAAGAAAACAAAGAGAGAGTTGAGGGAAATACATAAAAGAAATATTGAAAAGGAAAAGGACAAGAAGAAATGAGGAGGATAAGTAGAAGAGGAGAGGAAAGGAGGATAAAACAACAAATCTGAAGATTCAAATGTATTAAACTTTTATTTACAAGCGCTGTATGAAAACTAATTGTTTTAAGTGCTCGTGTAGGGTAGCTCATGTGCCTCACTTTCCGTGGATAATCAACCCCAGGGATAAACAAGTTCAGGGGGGCATGGGGAGAGAGAGGAAAAAAAGAAAGAAAGAAAGAAACATATAAAGAAATAAAACATATAAATTAAGAAAAAGAAGGAGAAGAGAAGAGGAAGAAAAATAGCAAAAAAAATCAAGCTCCAAATCTATTAGATTGAATTTACAAACGCTTTCTGAAAATTGATTTTTGTGAGTGCTCGTGTAGGGTAGCTCATGTGCCTCACTCGCCATGGATAATCAACACCAGGGATAAACAAGTTCAGGGGGGCATGGGGAGAGAGAGGAAAAAAAGAAAGAAATGAAGAAACATATAAAGAAAAAATATAAATTAAGAAAAAGAAGGAGAAGAGAAGAGGAAGAAAAAGAGCAAAATTCTCAAGTTCCAAATCTAGATTTAATTTACAAACGCTTTCTGAAAATTGATTTTTTTGAGTGCTCGTGTAGGGTAGCTCATGTGCTCCCCTTTCCATTGGTAATCAACCACAGGGATAAACAAGTTCAGACGGGGAGAGGGGAGGGAGATGGACAAAAACATATATATAGAGAGAGAGAGAGAAAGAAACAAAGGAAAAAGAAAGAAGGAAAAATGAAAGAAAGCAGCAATCAAACAATGAAATATGATGTATCTCGCTTGAGACATCCTCAAAGTATTGCTTATCTCGCTGGATACATTCTTCAAATGATTGCTTGTTTCGCTTAAGACATCCTCGAGGCAGTCTTGAAACACCTTGAGACATCCTTGAGACATCCTTGAAATAATTGCTTGTTTCGCTTGACACATCCTTGAACAATTGTCCATTTGCTAGAGACATCCTTCAGTATATGCTTGTTTCGCTTGAGACATCCTCGAGTATATGCTTGCTTCGCTTGAGACATCCTCGACAAGCTTCTCGAATCGCTTGAGACATCCTCGGGTATATGCTTGTTTCGCTTGAGACATCCTCGACAAGCTTCTCGAATCGCTTGAGACATCCTCGAGTATATGCTGGTTTCGCTTGAGACATCCTTGAAACATTGCTCGTTTCGTTTGAGTCTGCCTCCCAAAATTCTTGGTTTCGCTTGAGACATCCTGAAAAAAGTGTGATCGCGTCGCTTGATGTTGCTATTTCAACACAACTTGATCTTGCTATCTCAACATAACGTTCCGAGGTGATAATAAAGTTTGGCCTCCGCGCCCCGCGCCCCCGACCAAACTCATATTGGCCGACGATAAAAAACTCTAACGACTTAGGGGGGGGGTACATTATTATCGTGGGCATGGGGTTATCATCATCACCACCACCACCACGCCCACCACCATCATCATCATCATCATCATCATCATCATCAGTATCAGCATCAGCATCAGTATCATGATCATCAGCACCATCCATCAGCATATGCAGCTGCATCAGCATCAGCACCATCACTATCAGTATCAGCAGCAGCATCATCATCATCAGCATATGCAGCTGCATCATCATCAGCATCATCATCAGCAATTATCATCATCACCACCACCATCACCATCAGCATCATCATCGTCATCACCATCATCATACCATCACCATCATCAGCATCAACATCGTGATCATAAGCATAATCACCATCGTTGCCCGCATCAGCACCACCATCATCATCAGCAGCATCATCAGCAGCAGCATCGTCATCATCAGTACAATCAGCAGCATCGTCATCATCATCATCACCATCATCATCATCAATCACCAGCAGCATCATCATCATCATCATCACCCTCAACATCATTGTCATCGTCAGCATCATCAACCTCGTCACCAGTATCATCAACAGCATCAGCATCATCATCAGCATTGTCATCAGCATCAGCATCGTCATCATCATCAGCAGCAGCATCATCATCATACTCCTCATCATGTTTCCTGCTCCTCCTCCTCCTTCTCTATCAAATAGGAGAGGGGGTAAACAAGGGAGGAGGAGCAGAAGGGGGACAGAGAAGGAAGCGGATGAGGAGGAGGCAACGGAGAAAGAAAAGAAGGA